GTAGTGGATAGCAATAATATGTTATAGTAAACTGGGACTTTAAAAGTAACTTTCATTAGGACTCCAAAAATTTTCATTTCTAAAGCCTCTTTATTTTTTCCAATAGTAATTTATTTTTCACCTTTTGTTTTTTAATTTGCAAAAGTTATGAAAGATCCGGCCCCGCGGCGCCTGCCGCGCGTCCCAGGCTTCTCTGGGGCTTAGGAGACCGTTGGATGGTTTTCCCTGGGCACGTCTAGACAGGTCACCTGAGGACACTCACTGGAAAATAGCTCCTTCGCTCACGCAGCAGCTAGCAAGGGACGTGCCCTAATTGAGTGATTGGAATGAAAGACGAATACGATTTGAGTAATTTTTTCCTGTGCGCAGGGAAACTGGGTTTTATTTGCCTGTGGATGTGTCCCCAGCATGCGCCAAGTAGCTGTTCCACGGGAGAATTACATCAAGGTGTGATGTGTTCGTGAATCCGTTCGTAATTAATTGGCGGGCCACGGATGCCCTGGAAGCTACTTTTGATGGAAGGTTTTCATTTGGGGGCAAATCTTTACTAAGGCCCCGGTCCACGCACGACCCACCGTGCTGGGGATGCGGAGCTAGAAAAGATTTCTGCCTTGGTGGAATGCACAGTCTAACCGGGAAAACGGATCATTAAACAAGTAATTACAAGTGTGATAAGCTAACAAAGTGACACCTGTGGAGGAACATGATGGCCAGGGACTTTCTCCTGTTCCCGGGTCAGGGAAGGTTTTCCGGTGGAAAGTTAAGCTGAGCCACTAACTTCCAGGATGAAAAAGACCCTGATGAAAAGGGCAAGGAGAGTTATTCTAGGCCAAGTGGGGGAACAGGATGCAGTGTCTGAAGTCTATGGATCTTGAGAGATGCCTCCTGGGAGGAAAAATGTCCTGTGGGGCTGGGGTGAGAAGAGCCATGTGACTAGGTTTTGAAGGGGTGGAGGGAGCTGGCTCCCACAGGGCCTAGCAAACCACCGTGAGGGTTGAGGATTGATTTGTGTTAGGAGAGCTTGTTGGCTCATTCTGGGAAGGGGGCAGAAAGGCTTGTTCTCTTCTTATTGGTCTCCTGGTTTCCACCCCTCTCCCATGATGATCTCAATAGCTCTTGCTCTCCTAGCAAAGATTTTCACCTGCTTCCTTTTTTTCCTTGGGCATAACTACACAAGGACATTCCTTTTTTAGGCAAATTCCTGAAGATGGATAGAGTTCTAGGATTTTTTTGCATTTGATTCTTTCATCCATCAGTATAGAAAAGCAAAAAAAACAGGCTTGGGAGGCAGCAAATGTCCCTTAAAGGGAGAGAGAGAAACCAAGAGGCCCAAATCTAAGGTATTTGGTCAAAGTTAGAAGTACCTGTCCAGGGAGCCAAGAGCACGTATGGAAAAGAACTTTGGAAATGAGGAATCAACTAGTATATTTCACAGATGTTCAGGAAGG